TGTTGACCAATGAAATTATCAATATTCTAGTAAATTCGTTCACTTTTGCAATTTTCACTTCGTTTCAAAATACAGAATCGATCCCAGTAATGTCTCAGTGTTTTTGTTGGAAAACAGTCCTTGTCTGGCGACATTTTAGCGCTTTAGTTGAAAAAATATATGTATTAAGATATTATTTGTATTTCCAGTGTATAAAAATAGGATTTTGTGTGAGGCAAAGTTAATTCAACGGTTGTGTGTAATTAAAAATAATTTTCGGTTTATATTAAAAGAAGTGGCGGCTCTCTCCTCTCTTAAAATCTTCACTCCCCCTTCTCCCTACTGGAAGGCTTCGTCCAGATATTCATACGTCCATGATTCGTTTATGCAGTTACTACCGTAGATGTCGTTCGTTTATTCTATCTGCGAAGGCAATTGCAACGCAGTTTGTCATTTGTTCACGTAGGGATGTATACCATCTGCGCAGCTACCTCGGAGGTCCTGTTTAGGATGCTCTGCTCGCAGTACTGTGTAAATAAACTACAAACTGCGCTGCAGTTGCCTTGTAAATTAGATATCTTGCTATTCTTAATACCGCCAGCTATAATAACCGATTGTATTACTAAAAATGCACTCGCATTTCATTTTTACAAACTTTGTTTTTGAAGGAAATCGAAATAACTTCAAATCGTTATCAAAACGATAAAATATCGATGACCTAATAAATTTTACATAATTTTTTTGTTTAAAAGTCTGGCGATGAATATATTCATCTTCCTTTAAAGAATGTTTATAAAGCATAGATAACGAAATAAGCTTCAAATTTCGAGCAATATTTCGATTCGATGGAATTTCGTGATTTCAACATCAATTTGATGTCGATTCGATGAGTCATTTCTCGTTGGGGGTAAATTATTCTGTGAGACAAAGCGCCACTAAAGTGACTTTCCACGTTCAATAGGACACCTTGCATTGAAATCCGTTTCTACGCACATATCAGCGGAATCTTATCTAATCGATTTTCTGAGTATTGTTATTTGCAGAGTCATTGTATCAAATCATATTTAATGCTCTACAGAAGATGAATCCCGAACATATACCGTTTCCACAATTCATCGTGACATACTTTATTTTGCGTTTCGTCATGCTAGAGCATCCTCTTATAATTTCGCTCGATCTAGACACCAGTTAGTATTAATCTCGAACTTACACTTCCGAGCTAATATAAGTTCACTTATAAGCGCTAACACTCAATACGGCAACATCACCAATATATAATTACATCGTATTGCCATCCGCAATCAGGTATGTTATTCATTGCATGTATCAACATTAAAATGACAATTTCAGTAAGGAAAAAACAAAAAAGAAAGCAACTTCTGTAATTTCAATCTCGCAACATATATGTTAAAAGAAATTAGTTTATCATGTCAATTCATTATCATCAAACGAAACTGTTTACCAGAATCGAATAAAAAAGCAGAGAGGAATTGATTTCGCTGACGTTTTTCTCCTCTTTACGAAACGTCATCGTCAATGCGATAACTAAAACGATATTGATACCAATGTACTGTATCACCAAACAGTATTATTCAATTTATCTTTTAGGTATTATGTACGTTGTGCGTTATAAGCATTCAAGCATTGCAATGATGCGCCTTTGATGAACCTTTCAAAATTGTTAACTGTTTACAACGTGTACGTACGTGTATATACGTCATATGTGTGCCCATTTAAATATTTGTATTCTTGCATGTGTCATTAAGATGATTCTTTAGTAAAATATCGAAAATTTGGGGCGCCTCATTAGAGCCCAGCCAAAGTCACAAATATCTGCTTAATTTGGATAAAATATTAAAATATGTATATTATAATGAAATAGTATGAAATATACCCGGGGAAAAATATTTTATATATAATTATATATAAAACTATCTATAATTGTGTAGAATTATACATAATTATATAAAATATATCCATTTACATACAAATATATAAAATTATATATAATTTTATATATATATAATTATATATAAAATATTTTTTCTCAGGAAATCAAAAGCTGCATCTTTATCAAACGGAAACAAAGCGAGATCCTGTTTACTTTTCGAGATTAAATTTGTATACAAGTTTATGCATGTAAATATCTTTTCAGAGCGTTGACCTAATTACTTTTTTATGATCATTGCAAGCGTAACATTTTAAACGATTATAATTTCGTTTTTTAAAGAAGCCTGTGGTAATATTTGTGTACAGTTAGTCAAAGAAGTATATAAGTTACATTTTCGACATTTTGTTCTCTTATTTCATTATTAACCTACTTTAGAATTTTGTGAACATCAAATTCGTATCAAATCAGACTTTTCTCTTTCTTCAACGTGATAGTTATTTGATTTAAATAAAACTTAGAGAAAAGTATTTATATTATAAAGCAGATTATTTCGAGAAAACTTTTCTATTCTTCTTTAGAGCCATAAATACACAAATGAAATACAATGCTAAGTGTACATCGTCATGGTTTTGTTGTAATATTCTGCAATTTTATTTTGCTAAGAGGGTCCTGAAAGAAGAAAAATATTAACTTAATTATTTTTTATATAGCATGCTAAGATGTATAATTACTGTACATCATGATATGATATTATGCAAATTATCGTAAAAATAAAATTATATCGTCGCAATTAAACAAATAAAATTTTTTTAATCGACTAAATATGTTTAATTGATTAAATACAATAAGGTTGAATTTATACTAATTATTGAAAATCGAAGTTGAGATGATCCTTTAAATATGTTAATTTAATTTTTGTTATAAGGGATAATTATATTTCTGCGACTGATGAGGACTATAGTCGAAACGTATCGGTGGAAAATTATATTGTAAAATAATAAATTTTGCATTGTCACATCTAATTATAGCTCGTTTCATTGTTGATCTGGGTTATTATTTATTCATTTGTTTATAGACATTTAAATAACAAAACATTTTTTTTCTTTTTTTCCAGTGAAATTTATTCGTGATAATCGATTGACGAATGTGTTGAAAAATGGATTCTTTTGAAATTCTATGCGGCATTGCCGCAGTAATTCTTTTTCTTTACTATTTTCTCACGTTGACTTTTGACTTTTGGAAGTCACGAGGCGTTCCTGGTCCACGACCGATACCGGGATTTGGCAATTTTAAAGATGTTATGTTTACGAAGATATCCCCAGGTGATTATTTGACAAAAATATATAACACTTACAAAGATGAACCATTAGTCGGGATATTCAGCAGGAAGACACCCATTCTTATTATAAAAGATCTAAATTTAATTAAGGATGTTCTTATCAAAGATTTTACTAAATTTGCTGATAGAGGACTTCCCATTTTTGATAAGGTGAGAATACTTAAAGTTATATGTATAAATGTATTCAGAAAATAAATAAAACATATAAACACACATATAATATTTAGATTATATTGGGGACATACATATGTAGAGGGAAGTAGTACAAAAGGATAGACGAGTAAAGCTAGGCATCTATTCGTGCCAAAAAATGTTATATACTCATAACATTACTGATTCAACGCCGTTATTTTGTTTAATGATGCAACAAAGAGTCAAGTGGACTGCGCGCGCTACATCAAAGTTACGATAAAAAAATAAGTTTTTTGATAGTTTTTTTGAGAAAGAGAGAAAGGGAGGCAGTAAGTGAAAAATAAATTACCGAACGTAATAACTTTTCGCAAACAGAAATAATTTTTATAATTAATGAAATAGTTGGTGAGTAATGAAATCAATTAATTTAACGTATAAAACAAATTAAATTAAAAATCAAAGAAGCACAGCGATTATATTATTAATGACAATTTTTGGATGATAATTGTTGTAAAAATGTTTAAAGCATAATAAATTTTTTGAACAATGGGCGCAAGAAATAAATAGAATATCATTGCATTTACACTTTTTTTTACACAAATCGATGGAAAAACATACTTGATTTAATAAACAATAAAAATAATAACGCTCGAAATTTTTGCACAGCAATACGATAATCCTAATAACGACTAATAATCGAGCAAATTATTCCTATAAAGATTTTATAATTAAATATTATTTATAATTTTATATTATTTATTAAATATATATTAATTTTTAATTATATACATTTATAACTTCTTTTGCTCGATTATTGATCGTTTTTTAGGATTATCGTATACTTAAAAAATTTACGTTTTAAAATATTTTTTTTTCCTGTATTAATTTTTAATATAAACTATGCGCAATGAAACTATACATATCTTGGAAGACAGAAGTGCTAAGCTGATGTTTCAGTAAATGAATTTTTAATGCATTCTCTCTAATATTTTCTTACTTTTTTGCTATAAATGTGTGCTGTTTTGTATTTTTTTTTATAAAACACTTAACTTTCCCGAAGAAATATACATCACTAATGTAATTGCTGCGCTTTTTTATTTTTTGTTTACTTTTTTGTTTTATATAATACGTTTAATTAATTGATTTAATTATTTATCAAGCTTAATTAGTTTAAGCTTAATTAATTATAAAATTATTTTTGTTTGAATAAAATTATTACATTCGATAATTTATTTTTTTCCTCTCTTTTTCTCGTTTATTATATATATTGTATACATTTTTAATATATTTTATTATTCTTTATATAATTTAATGAAAGAAAAAGAACGAAACAAATTTTATTCATCGATCTTAATCACTTTTAAATTGTTAAGCAGACATTTTTACCAATCGTGAAATAATTAAAATTTCCGTTATAGAGTTTATATGTTAACATTGAAAATGATCTAGTGATAGATTAAAACGTATTTTTTTGTAATTGTATATGTTCCACAATAATTATTGAACTGTAGCATTTGACATTCACAACGTTAGTTCGTAGCCCTTATTAAAAATCATGAAATTTTCTCTATTGAAAAAAATTACGTCATAAAGTTGCATGACGAAATCATGTAATTAAAACAAATAAATTACGTAACAAATTATTCCAAATCCATTACATGATTTTTTTTTTAATGACATAATTTGGAAATAAGAAATATTGGTTGTAGACTCTCGAAATTAAAATAATGTAGGAAATTAGACAAATGAGAGTTCGGTACTTAATGCACAATCATTATAATTCTATGTATATATAAATTATATTTTTTACTTGCTGTACACTCAAACGTTTGGATCACTTTTTGAGGTGATCCTCAGTGAGATCAATGAAGAAAAAGAAATATAATAAAGTTTCCACTCTCCTACATATCAGACGAGTCCCTACTCAGCTGTATATTTCCAAATACTTCACTAAGTTCAATCCGGTGACGAATATAATAGAATAACAGATGCCTATAAATTGTTAATAATTAGTCTTTAAAATATTATCAGCTGAAAATTGTGAAGACTCACCTGAAGAACAGGAGCGTGAAATAACAATTTAATTACAAATTAAGCAAGTTTTCATGTCAATTTTATACAATTCTTTAACGAGATAACATTGTAGTTATGATCTGTATCATCGTCAGAGTCGTTATGATTTAAAAATTATTTGCGAAAATACGAAGATAAAAAACGTAAATAAATAAACATCATTATTTTATATATGTAAGAACAAAATATTACTAGAAAACGTTACAATTTACAATTCCATTTTATGTACGATACGTTAACGATATTGCCCCTACAGTTCCTTCTAACATGACTATTGAAAAACTAATATATTTAATTTATTTCATTCGAAACTTCAATTTACAGCAGAGATTGGCAGAAAAATTTTTAATTTTTTTGGACGTTACAATTATCAGTAATGACAACACCCTGGAATTTAATTGGTTTTATAAATCAATTTTTTTAGCGAAAATTTAAATTTTATGTCACATCCTGTTTCGCAGAAAAGAGGTGTTGTCATTGGAATTATTGATAGAGCTTTCCTTTTGTCACATCCAAAATTTCATAACAAGAATATTATTTTTATTGACTCTACTCAATAATGATTACCCATTAGACTTCATATTTGATAATATAAATGCGCGATTAAAATTTCTTTGTTACAAACAAATTTTAAAATAATATAATGACAAAAATACTGACGATACGGAAAACTTTCCTTGGATTTCATCTATTCAGAACATATCAGAAAAATTTAAAAATATAACAAAAGATTTAAATGTTAAGTTAGCTTTTTATAATCTCAACAAAATGAATAAATCTATTAAAGTCCACAAAGATGTGTTTCCAATTGAATCAAAGAAAAATGTAGTGTACCAAATCTCATGTGAGGATTGCGATGCAAATTATGTAAGGCAGAAAACTTAAAACCGGAATCGCAGAACATAAGAATCACATAAATAAGAACCATTGCTCAATCAGTAATCACAGATCATAGATTGCGTCACAATCATCAATTTGATTGGACGAATGTAAAAATCCTAGATATCGAAAGATATTTAAATAAACATTTAACATCCGAAATGTTATGTATCAAATTGCAAAAAAATAATATAAATTTACAATCAAACACTGAATATCTCAATTATGCGTATGTCGACATTCTCAATAAGTTTTAATTCTCAATGGTTAGTAACTTTACACAGCTCCTAGTAATATTTTGTTCTTACATATATAAAATAATGATATTTATTTGAAATACGCGCCTTACCGGTCCGAGTGTTAAGATGTTGAACTACTATATAATATACATTCATTTAAATTAAATTAATTTTCAGAAATAAATTGCGATCCGATAAGATTATCTCTCTCACACAATCAATCTGAAACAAATAATCCCTCCCAACATTTTCCAAATCTTAAAAAACTGTAATAAACTTATTGCGAAAAATATTGCCTCGGGAATCGAATCCAGATCTCTTGCATTCCGCGCGAGTGTCCTAAGCTTTTAGAATTCGATAATCTTATCGGCTCACAATTTATTTCTGAAAATTAATTCAATTTAAATAAGTATATATTATGTAATAGTTCAACATCTTAACACTCGGACCGGTAAGGCGCTTCGTATTTCAAGTTTTAATATAAACGTTCTCGTTTCCAATCATATTGGTATTTATTTATTTATGTTTTTTATCTTCGTATTTTCGCAAATAATTTTTAAATTATTACTCTGACGACTCTGACGATGATACAGATCATAGCTAGAATGTTATCTCGTTAAAGAATTTTATAAAATTGACATGGAAACTTGCTTAATTTGTAATTAAATTATTATTTCGCGCTCTTGTTCTTCAGGCTTCACAATTTTCAGCTGATAATATTTTAAATTTTACTAATTCTTAACTACTTATATCTGTTATTCCATTATATTCGTCATCGATTTTGAATCTTGGTGAAGCATTTGAAAATACACAGCTGAGTACTCGCCTGATACGCAGGAGGAATAACTTTATTATATTTCTTTTTCTTCGTTGATCTCGCTGAGGATGACCCCAAGAAGTGGTCGAAACGTTCGAGTGTACAGCAACTAAAAAATATAATTTATATATACATAGAATTAAAATAATTGTGCATTGAGTACCGCACTCTCATTTGCCTAATTTTCTACATTATTGTAATTTAGAAAGTCACGTATATGTTTTTTCTTCTATTTCGTTACATTCTCTAAAATTCGATAATTATAAAATCACATAATGGATGAAATTATTTCTAATATCATATGATTTTTCAAATAATGTAATTTTAAAAAAATCACATATTAATTTGAAACAACAATTCTTTACGTGATTTACTTGTCTTAATTACATAATTTTATTATGTAACTTTGTGGCGTAATTTTTTTTAGTAAAATTATCTCCAGAAATCTTAAACAAGTTTTTGTGAGATAGAAAAATTGAATTTTAAATTTATTTAATTACAATTTTTTACCCTTTATCCCTTACTTTTGTTGTAGACTGAACCGTTATCGCAACATCTTTTTTCTTTGGAACCAAAAAGATGGCGACCGTTGAGAACAAATCTGTCACCTGTTTTTACATCTGGTAAACTAAAGGAAATGTTCTCTTTAATGTCAAAATGTGCTGACCACTTGATCCAATATATGGAAAAAATATCAAGCAAGAATGAACCTGTAGAATGCCGTGAATTGTCGGCCAAATATACGACTGATGTTATCGGTAACTGTGCCTTCGGCATCGAGATGAATGCACTGTCGAATGAAGAAAGCGAATTTCGTAGAATGGGAAGAAAAGTATTCGCTTTGACTTGGACAAGTATATTACGAACAAGAATTAGACAAATATCTCCGTGGTTTTACAATAAGCTCGGTTACGTTCTGCCATATACAGATGTTACTAGATTTTTTACACGCGTTATCACAGAAAACATAAATTACAGAGAAACGAATAATGTTATTAGGAATGATTTTATCGATATGTTGCGCGAATTAAAAAAACATCCAGACAAATTTGGTGATTTTGGTATGTATTAAATATACGATATCTTTATATACATGTTTTTTTATACAGATCAACTTTTATACATATAAAAAAATTACATGATACACATTTTGCACATATCTAAAATAATTTATAAACAATAAAATGAAGTTAACTTCAACTTTTATTGTGACTTATGACTAAATTTCTATTGCGGCTATATTTTCACATGCTGTTTGAAAATAATCATAACTTTAAAGATATAATAAATTTATAATATATTGTATATAAATTGTTAAGTGATTAATTAATGTAAAAAAAATGAAATCTATTAAATTTATAAGACTTATTCATAAAAAATACATTTCAGATTTGACAGACAGTTTAATAACATCTCAAGCATTCGTATTTTTCATTGCTGGCTTTGAAACTTCGTCGACGACTATTAGCAACGCGCTCTATGAGTTAGCATTAAATCAGAAAATACAAAACATTCTGCGTGAAGAAATTGACCAAGTTTATGCAAAATATGATGGAGATTTCATATATGACAATATTAAAAAAATGAGTTATTTAGATAAAGTTTTCAAAGGTACGTCATTTAATAAATAAATTAAAGAAACATGTATTCTAGCTATTCTTCTTTTCAACAATGTTACAACAGGCATGTTTTTTTTGGCTGAACTTTTGCACCAGTTCATTTTTCTTCCTTTTCTCTCCAGAAGGAAAGAAGGCAAAAAAAGGTGAACTGGTGCAAAAGTTCAGCCAAAAAGAACAGACCTAATATGATCTCATTGTTATATCATGTTAATAATCTGTTTCAATTTAATTGTAATTTTGTAATGTACATAAATACATTTTTATAATTAAATATTATTTTTATTGCGTGCAGAAACCTTACGAAAGTATCCAGTAGTGACATTTCTTATGAGGCAATCCATAACGAGTTATACTTTCGATGGTACCAAAGTTAATATACCGGAAGGTCAAAAGGTATGGATTCCTGTTTATGCAATTCATCGAGATCCAAGTATTTATCCAAAGCCAGATGTTTTTGATCCAGAAAGATTTAGTGATGACGCTATGCAAAGCAGACATCCAATGTCTTACCTACCTTTCGGGGACGGGCCAAGGAATTGTATTGGTAAAGCAAAATAAATTTAACTATTATTTCTCATTTGATTTTGCATTAAAAAATATTTTTAATCAAAAATATTAATATAATTATATATTATATATAGCTACTATATAATTATAATTATATATAGCTACTATTCATTTTCAGGTTCTCGCTTCGCTATTTATCAGAGTAAAGTTGGACTTGTAAAAATATTACGAAATTACAAAATCGAGACTTGCGATAAAACTCCAATACCTTACATAAACAATCCTAAGGCATTTCTATTAGCACCAAAAGACGGATTATATTTAAAAATAATTAAAATTAATCGGACTTAGTTTTTTTTTAATTATTTATCGAAAATATTCGTAATAAAAAGTAGAGAAAATCTGTTAATTATATAACTAATAATAAAGAAGTTATCATTATAATTCTTTTGATTGTTATATTTCTTAATGTCCATATGCATTAATATTTTATATCAGTTAATTAATAATGTTCATGTACCGTATGTTGCATCAACATATTGGTCAATACAGCTCAATACTACAACTCATAAGTTAATTTTTAATCGAGATTCAATTTATTCCTTATCTTTTTCCAATTCTAGAACGTAATATATAATATACAGCACGGAATGTTACCAGAATATCACCAGAATTTCATCGTTTCAAACGTTTTTTACAAAATATTTCATTTGAAATATTTCTGCAAACATCTAGAGATATTATTATACATATAGGACATATTATTTGAAATATTCTAGAGACATTCCATTTGAAATATTACGTTTGAAATATTTTCTTAATATTCTGGAGACGTTTCGCTTCAAAACGGTTTTCTAAAGAGCTATTTATAAATATAATATATATTTGTTGTATTCGGGGAGACTATTAGCGCTAATTTGTATCATTTTATCTTCATTATTCATTAATCATTATAGACGTAAAACAAGGATAAATGATACAATTAAATAGCGCGCTCCTCGAATGCAGCCATCGACGTGAACAATGTATGTGCATGTACGTCATGATAACTTATATATTGTAGTTCCTGCGACATGCGATTCAGTCCAAGGATGCCAATTCGAAAACAGTTTACGATATTGCAATCAACACTATCAGTCGACGATCTAATGCGATCAGTACATATACAAAGTCTCTAAAATATTTCACTCGCGTTATTTTAAAATATTTGAAATACAATATCGTCAGAAACTATAATAATAAAACTCAATGCACTACTTTGGAGCTGAGAGATTGCCAGAATATTTCATATGAAACATTTAAAACAATTGGAAGCAATACCTCTCAAGGATATTAAGGAAATATTGTCAATGTAATATTTAAAATGGAATGTTCCTAAAATATTTCATTCACAATATTCTTAAATATTTCAAATAAAATGTTGTCAAGCTATTTCATATGAAACGTTCAGAAAGATTTGAAACGTTTTCAGAACGTTAAAAGAACATTGCAAATGTAATATTTCAAATAGAATGTTTCTAGAATATTTCAAATAAAATATTCTACATGCAATATCTCTAGGTGTTTGCAAAAATATTTTAAATAAAATACTCTGTAAAAGACATACTGAAATATTTTTGACAACATTCTGGTGACATTCGATGCTGTGTGAGTTGTTATTCGTTAAAAAGTTATTAACATTTAAATGTAAATGTAAAAAATCTGGTGTCTAGACAGGGGAGAGAGGTGAGATGGATCTTTCTTCATGTGGAAAATCACCCTTAGGCAGGAGGGAGATAGGATGAATCTCGCTTTGCGATTAAAGAAAAATTTCAGCCAAAACCGAAGTTAAACCGAAACTTTGATTTTTTACTGAAACTGACTGAAACAGAAATTGAAACCGAAATTTCAGTCGGACTCTATTTAAGACATTTCGATTTTGGACATAAGATGTCTAGGATAGTTTAATTGTAAATTTATGCTGTTATAATACATACATATAATATCTTATAATATAGCATCTATTAATAATATCTAAAAGGATTAGGTAGTAACTAGTAAATAAGTA